GAAGGAATGCTTTTGGAGGGGTGTCAATCCAGTTGGCAATCTGCAGGTAGAGGTCACTATTACCTTTATGGGAGGAAGTCTCCAAGGATGCGGCGGCTGGCCAAATCCTCAAGAAAGGTCAGCAGGTCAGGAGACAATTAAAAGGTAGAAAAGAAGCTTTGAGACTTCTAAGAGTTGGTCTTTCTCGATCAATATTGATCAATAACGTTTTGCGACTGAGTTGCCTTATTTTTTCAAGGTCCTTCTTTAAGCCCACGTGGCATCCTAAGTTTTGTTTCTTCTTTTATTTATTTAATTACTTATTTTTTACTTGTTTGTTTTTATTGCTTGGTTGTTACTAGTTTATTATTATTACTTTTGTGTTCTTTATCGTTTATATTAGTTCAGCCTTTACTTTCTTAACTTAGTACTTGAGTACAATGGTTGTCCTTATTAGTTTCAGCTGTGTGCCTGTGTGTACGACAAGATTTCAAAAGGGAATGGAGACTAGGGGCGTTCACATTTTGTCGTTGCTAGGTCCATTCTACCCTCTAGGTAGGTAGTAACGGTAAATCACAGTCCATCGTTTTTCGTCGACTGACAGTTTTTTCCACAAAAAATTCCAAGCTTTTTTTTAATATTAAATATTGCCTCCCCCGTTTTTAGATGGGAACGGAAAAAGAAAAGAACCTTCTCCTGCAAGGGTAGGACCCCAAAAGAAACCCTGTCATATTGCATAAGAAATGCCTTGAATTCGCATTCTCTGCCATGAACAATTTTGTGAAAAATACCAAAAAAAACAGCGGTCATTGCTTAAGTGCTCTACGAAATTATCGGTTTACCGCCTCGCTGCATTATACAAAGTAGTTCTCACCGACGTCAAGTTCAGAAAAATACACATCTTTCAACGGTTGAAGAATAAATTTATGCAATGATCACCTAAAGCTTTAAATTTAACGATTAAGGCAGTAAATATAGGTGTACACCTGCAGTCCTCAAGCTATGTAATAGCACTGATAAGCAAAACAGTTTGACAAATAGGTAATAGTTACTAGGTACGTGTAGGCAACAAACTGTGTTCGTTTTTTCGTGTTTTTGTTGGAAAGTTGGGGAGAACTAAGGAATAAGGAAATGAAAAAGTTGCTAGAGAAAAATTGTTTGTCAAATTCCTATTTCAGCCTTTTGCTCTTCGATGAAACAACTGCTACCTTTTTTACGACAGTGACTACTCTTTTTTTTTCTACGCACTTCTAATATTTGTCGGCAGAAGGAAGTAGAGGGAATTGACTTCTAAATACGTCTATGGCTGCAAACAGTCAGAAACGGCTTATGGTAACCACCACATTGAAAAAAAAATTTGGGGTTACATTATCACGAAAAACTTAGAAAGTGAAATGTTCAAACGTGAACAGACCAAGCAATATCTAAATTGGTGCTTTTTTCAATTCTTACAATCAGCTGACGTCTTGTGGTATTTGTCAAGGAAGAGTGCTGAAGACCTGAAAGTTTTCGACAAAAACAACCTTTTGAGCACGCCGGACCAAAAATTACGTCAACTGCGTCTTCGAAAATCAGTTTTGTCGCGAAACCAAGTGACATCGATTCGTTACACTCGTCAAAATACCATACATATCTGTAGCATAGTCATTATTAATTATAGATTGATTCATAGACATTTTTTTTCAATAATACTGAAGTTTTCGAAGGGTTCGTACTCAATGGGAAATTTAACGTGACACGTTTACAGACATGTACGACGACAATCAAGGCGCATGAAAAAAATCACTGCAATTGGTTAACCTTAAACCATCCATCTTCAAGTACATTTTATTTAAAAGAGTGGTCTTACCTCTCATTTAACTAAAACTTGTATTGATGAATAAACGGCGAAGAAGAAAAAATGAAGGACTAAAAAGAGCTGTTCCAAAAATGATTATGTAGTACGCGCAGTGCTTGACGCTAAGTGTTTTGGGCGCATTTTGAAAATCATCAAAATTACTATGAGCATTGAAAAGATGAGTAAACCACATATTGTCGGCTTTTTTTATGATATTAGGAAATGGATAATTAGTCTTCTGACAACGTAGTGTTCAGTTTTTATTTTTATACTTCCGCAATTGTCGGTTGGTTTTTATTCAGAGCTTTTTCCTTCAGCAGTGCAATTGCCATAAGTCATAAATTTACCATTTTCAAGTGATGATACACTTTTTATTTTATTGTTCTTTTCCTAATCGGGTTTTAAATTTCATTATTATTAGAAAAAAGTAAGTAAACTTTTAGGAGTGTAGGGTACCTGTTTAAGCATCACCCTTTCTTCAAATTAACAAAGTTGAGGTGACTAGACATAGAAACTTCTCATTTGTATTATGCACCACACTTACTGAATAGTGTTACCGCGCACTGACCGCAGATAAACGTTCAGAAGAAGTCGTCTCTCGCCTTGCATACAACTTCCCGATAAGTCCGTAGAGGGGTGAAAAGTGCTTAGAAAAGCAATGTGCCGTCGAGGAAAAAGCTTACGAGAAAGTGTAGTTGGTGAGGTGGCCTTCACTTTGAACCCTTTTTACTCCCAACACCACTGCAGCTGCGCTGTTCTGAAAGGCGACGTACGGCATTACTTCTGATGCATTTCGGACGCACAGCATACCAATTTTGATTTCACCCTACAATATCCAGTTGAATGCGGCACGATAGGAGAAGAATTTGTTAGTTTGCTTCAAAAATTTGACGTTATAAGAATTATCTGCTCTAACTATATAGAGTATTCAGGAAGTTTTAAAACATGTTAAGCCCCGTTTAAATATTCAGTGAAAGTTTCCTTTTTTTTTCGCGCTACTTAAAAACCACCGAACTTGCCATTCGCTTTTTTGAGAAAAATAATGTAATCAAAAATATTGAAACGTTATTAATGAGCCCGCTGAGGAAGTGGGGTTGTTTTCTGTTTGTAATTTTTTATGCTTTTTTGACGCATAGGTCTCGCCCTTCTCGCTATCTTCAAAGTTGTCTTTCAACAAAGTTGTAGAAATTATCTTAGTTCATAGCTTAAGGTAAGATAGTTAAATTAAGATGTCAATGGCACTTGAACCTGTAGTTCATAGTGAAGTTTCAGCGGCAGGAATTCAAATAGGGTTCCTTAGGGTTTTTTGTGAAATGTGCTTCAGAAGCTCTAACAAATTATATTACTGCGGCTTTTCTACGCTGTTCTTATGTCCAAAGCGTTCCAGTCAGTCTTCGGGGAAATGTGCGTACTTCGTCATCGTTATTTTTCACAACCCTAGTTTCACTGTGTCCATTTACTGCTTGTTTCTTTTTGGTCCTAATGTAGTACAATGAAGAGCCTTATTTAGGTCTGAATTTTGCATCGTTTAGGTAATAGTTAGGTGAATACCACACAAATGTTTCTAGAATTCTAAGG